TCTTGAAATTTAAGTTTGTGAAAATATAAGTTTAAGAACTATTTTTGTGTGTGTTGTCATTAATGTTGTTGAATATTATTTAAGAATATGATGATTTAGTTTCATACATAGCGTCAACCACTTGAGATTTGCTAAATTATTTTTCTTTAACAATTAAGAAATATATTTTTTTTTCAATTATATGCTGGCACTAAAGATTTTTTACACTAAAAAATTTAATGACTGAAATATATATGTTTATTATCATACATGCTATTATTGTAGGTTAATTTTATAATTTGTAATGTTCTTTGTTCTTGGTGTTAGAATATTTTTCAGTTATCTTATTCATCATTATTCTTATCATTATTAAGCATTGACACTTCATTCTGTAATTTTTAACACTTGTTTTGGTTGTGGAAACTGTCAGTGATGCTTTAGTCTTATTGTTTTATACAAGATTGATTCAGACCATTTGTTTCCTATTATGCTTGAAATGTGTTATTATTTTATATTTATCATAGTAACATGATTATTTTCTCATTATATGTTTATCTATTGTGATTATTCTTTGGCCATACTTCTTGGATCAGATATGTCTAGAAGTCTTATTAATTACATGGACAACACGTGTGTCATTTATCAGCTTGCCTTAAGTCTTTTCACTGTGTATTTTACTATCTTTTGTTAACACAAATTATGTGACAATGACAAATTCAACTAGCTTCTGTAATTTCTTGTTATCACTTGCTTAATCACAGTCTGCTTCACTGTTTCAGTTTTGTTTTCAGGCCTTTCCACAATTTTTGACTCTTCAGAATGCACTGAGTTAGGCTGACTCTTGATTCCCTGGTTAAGATTTTGTTGTCACTAGTGTGATTCATTCCTACATCACAAGCTGCTTTCACTATTAGAAAGCAGTCCTGAAGAAAAAAGTTGTTTTTAATTTTGACTGCAGTTTCCTTTCTGTGGCATGTTATATTTGTACACATATTACTCACTAGTGTCAGTAGAATTGAGAACTGTATAATATTAAAGGATATAAGCACAGGGTTGTAACAATAGTTGTGCAATATATATAAGTTCAATGAAAATTGATATAATTTCTGATGGAAAATGAGTATTTAGTGAAATGGAGTTAAGAGGAGGGTTAAAAGATCTATTAATTGTAAGAAATTCAATATTTTTACAATTTGGAAATAATGTGTATATTTATTTGTGATGCACAGGTAGTTTTGGACTTGTTCAATATTATCATTTACAACATACAAATGTTTACTGCTAATCTGAAAATGATATGCAGAACATGTTACAGAAGATAATCTCTCTTGTTATTGTAAAGAATAGGATACTCATTGGTTTTCCAATAACACTTACCTCCCCTCACATTGCAGCTATTACTTGACTGCTAGAGTTTCTTTCCTTTGCCCATCTAAGCATTGGTCTGATTTTTTTCTTGCTTGCTTCAGTCATTTATTTCCATTTTAATTGCCACTCTCTACTTATGTCAATGCACCTTCTATCGTGGTGCTGTATATAAGTACTAAAGTCAGATAAGGTTATCACTTTTCTCGACAAAGTATTCACTAATGAGTTTCTCTGTATTATGAGTGTTGGAGATACTTTGAGCATTCTTTGTGATACTTATTTGATTTTTGTTAAATTTTTATTTCTTTTTTGTTTGGCAAGCTTATATACGCCATGAATTTCTGGATTACTGTTTCTGGCACAGAAACAAATCAGGGCTCTCCTATCCCACCTCTGATATCTAGCGTCGCTCAACAGTCAGAGGGGGGGGTCATTCTCAGTTGAGGCTGTCCACGACCTTATTTGTTGTGAGATGGAGAAATATATTTGGTCCAGTGGTGTTTCTCCAGGGGCTCTGATGCTGCATTTGCGGGCTATCCTGGACAATCTGGAGAGATTTTAGATTCGTTTTTTCCAGTTATATTGTTAGCTTCTCATGAGGCCAATTTGGATCAGCTGGCTCTGGCTCCTTTTCATCAGTTAGTTAATCGAGTATGTGATGTTTTGGGTCTTCCCCCAATTGCTTTTCAGTCTATGCCTTCCTTAATGGTGGAAAGGTTTGAGGGCAAATACTTAGTTCTTCTTTCATCCCCTGATATTGTGGTTCATGTGGGGAGGTTTACTGCTCAGTTAAGTGAAGGGATAGCTATGCTTTGTCCTCCACGTCTGTCAGAACATCATGCATTAGCCTACCACTGCCAGGTGGATGCGTATCTAGACTCTCAAAGACTAGACCATCTCCTGGAAATGTGGGGTTCCAGAACAGAGTCATTGGTCATCGTGAATAGATCACAATTTTCTAGGATTCGTCTGGTCCTAACTACAGTGCTAAGATATCATCCCTCCAACATTTGTCAGAAACCTCAGTAATCACCATGTCAGTTTGATGATGATTCGGGACTATTGATAGCATCTACCTTGGTTTGATTATCAGCTTCTGCACTTTCCCTAGTTCTTGGATGGTATGTTGTTGGGATTTGTAGGGTAGTGATGCATTGTTAGAGGGCATTCATCTACTAGTTGCCACCCTCCATGAGTTACGTGAGGCTGCCTTTCTTCGTCTCTAGATTTTTGCAGGTGTTCCAGAGTATTTGGAATCAAGGGTCAAAATGTTGCCTGTCTGCATTCCTCCCTATTGTCATTGGCTTCTTGACTTTCCTTGGATCCTACAGAGGGTAATAGTTCCAAGTGTCCCAACCCTGACATCAGCCCCCTCAGTCCATTGATACACAGTATAGATTCAGCCCATTCTATGAGGTTCCTCCACTTGGTTGGAGCTCCACTAGTGATGGGTGTGATCATCGTATGCCTTTGGGGTCTGTGGGGCCTCGACTTTATGAATTTTTGGATGTTTGGTAAACCTTTACCACAGATCCATGGGTACTACAGGTTCTTGTATCAGGATTAGTCACTCAGTTCACATCTTCACCACCATTATCCATCCAACCTGTAGTGTTTCTGCCTCCCACAGTTCCTCGGATTTCGGAACTTTGTTCCAGGGCTAACAGAGATTTGTTGGTCAAGGGGGCAGTGGAAAGAGTCATCCCAGTTATTCCAGGGTTTTGTTCCTGTCTATTTTTGTGCCCAAGAAGACAGGAGATTGTCATCTAGTCATTGATCTTTCTCAGTACATTGTTCATGGAAGAGGGTCCATTGTCACCTCGTAATTTTGAATGCAGAGTGGTCCTATCCTGGGTCCTTGGTTGAGCACAGTGTTCCATGTCCTATTCATAATTCTGGGGGCAAGTGGAGTGCTCCTTGCCCACACAGTTGGGGTGTGAGGATAAGAGTTCATAATTCCAGATTGAATGAGTTGTTTCCTCAGGCTGAGTATGGCATACAGGATCCCATCATACTTAGTTTGAGATGTTGCCGTTCGATTAAGGAGAAGGTCTGTCCTCTTAGGTGTTGCTTACCTTCTCATCGTGATTTCAGTTTGGAACACATCACTTTATAACTACAGATTGGGATCCCCCCCCCCCACATATATACAGATATGATGTAGGGGCTGTGGCCCTATAATTCCAACTCCGAGCAGTGGGACCTTGGCTACCTGGTTTTGGCCTAACCAATAGTGATGATAGATAGGTTCCGGGTGAAGAACATACCTGTTCTGGATGTAGTGCAATTCCTCCACTAGGATGCTAACCTTCTGTTGGCACACCCACCGTCCATGCAGATACATTCTCTATGGGTAATGCCCTCACCGGCCCCTCCACCTTATCGATGTGGAATTCTAGCTGTAGTTTGAGAGAAGATAAGTATGTTTTGGAAGTTAACATTTTCTTAAATCGAAAATGTATTTCCAACAATACTTGCTTCCTCTCACATTCTCCTGCCCTTCCTCCCCACTGGTGTTAGAGACTGGGATTGAGTCTGTCTCAAGAAAGTGATAACATTATCTGAATGAGGTGCTTATATACAGTATCAGGATAAAGGGTACATTGTTGTAGGTGGAGAGTGTCACGAGACAGATATCGTCAAAGGCATGTATGGGAAATAACAGACTGGAGCAAGCTACCAAAAATCAGACCAATGCTTAGATGGGCAAAGGAAAGAAACCCTAGCAGTTGAATAATAGCTGTAGTGTGAGAGCAGGTGAGTAATATTGGAAATACAATTTCGATTTAAGAAAATGATAAATTTCTTAGCTTAAAATGTTTTTTTGATGTTTAAAAATCATAAAACCATGCATTCTTGGTGGACATTTTAAACATTTGGGAAGAGTTTGTTTATTGGTTTGTTGGAGTGTTACAGGCAGCTAAAAATCTTTTCTTTATCAGTGGCTACTAAGTGTCATTTAACTATTTAAGTTAAGATTATGCAATTTTTTAGTTAATGTACATAAATCAAAGAAAATATCAATTTTAACCTCATAGCATTTTATGCCAGTAAGCCATCTACAAGGTGTGAAGCTTTGTACAAATATCTTTGATAACTATTTGGCTGCATAAAGTTGGCTCATTTCTTTGTTGAAATTTATAATATTGATATTTTATTATAGTATATTTCTTTGACTTGCTCTTCTGTGAATTGATTATGTAATTTAATTCCTGTTGATAAACAGGTTTGATATTGCTCTAATTAGCAGAAATTGTCAGTATGACCAATTTAAACATACACGTTTATTTATGCACATTTTGTGTTTTAGTTCAACCTGAAAACCTTTGAATGATTTAGTTCTTCATAACAACTCTACTTACTCCAAAACTAAAAGTAATTAGCAAATTTCCAAGCTGCAATCTATTATAATAAGACTCAATTTTTGTCTGTTCTGAAAATGTGTGCACAACTTACTATCTAAATGTGAATTTTCACATACATCATTTCAGTGGATGTAGATATACTTTAGTAGATATTTTATGCAACAGATTAAAAGCTTATCTGTTTTTTAAAAAGGTCTAACATTAAGTTGTAGAATAACATTATAAGCTTATTGATAGTATTAAACGTGGTAAAGTTTAGCCCTAACTAAACTAAAGCAAAACACGTAAACATATTTTATTGAACATAGGCTCACTAGTGTTAGGCCTAAGTCAAGTTGACTTATAGATTTCAGTGTCTGTGATTTGAATTATTTTGTATTATGCTAGAAATCCTGTATTTAAAGAAGTACTGTTGCACTAAAGATACTGATTTGATTGCAAATGTTTTGTGGATTTCTGCTAGTATTTAGATAACCTTACTCATCATATATTTTTTTAACTAATCTTTACAGGTTATAGGATCAAGATTACTACTGGAAAGACTGGGTTCCACAGCATGTTTTACAAATATAAAATCTCAACAACTTCAGTTGGGACTCATACCACCAACACATTGTCAGGTTAAGTATAGTAATATTTAGAGTTTATTTCTTTCATTGTCTTCTAAATGCCTGTTTTAAAAATGTACTTGGCAGAGGATGCAAGCATAAAAGTTTGTATTTATTAATTTTGGCTTTTTAAAAAGTGTAATTTTTGATAATGATTTTTCTTCATTACTTTTGTATGAGAACGGATAAGTATTATTATTGTACTATGTGTTTAATGCATCGTATTTAAACTGGGTAATCTTACTATAATGGATGCAGCGTGCATGTGAGTAGCTATGTATGTAACCAAAACTCCTGTGATATCTACTGAATGTCATCACAAACAAAAATCCATAAAAAATTTCACACTTTAGGTATTTAAGATTCAGGCAATTAGGAAAATAACTGTGGTATGTGCAACAACTGTTTCTTTATAATAGAACACACTTTTAATTAAAAGTACTCCCCTCACAACAAGAACACGACTTTCAGTAGGGCTGTAGGTGAGGGTTTGATTATATCTTTATTGATGTAATTTTTAAATGTAGTACTGAGAAACTGTAGTTCTTGAAAAACTTATTTTTTCAATAAAGGGTACTAGTTTAATACTATTTTTAATAATTATTAGCACAAATAGCCACCTATAGGGCAATATATCTGCTAGTCTATATTACTAAAATAAGAAAGTTTTAAAGGTCATTATAGTTCATATTTTTGTTTTTGTTCACTTGAAATTCCTTCAGTTTTTAAATAGTCTCAAAAATGTTTAAATGGAACACTGCAGTTATTGCATGTTAATTCTTCTATGTAGATTTATATAGACATGTATTATGCTTAATTAAATTATGATAAAAATTTGTAATCGAAGGAAAAGTATAGATCACAATTGTATCTAGAACTTTATTTGACAATTATTATTATTATTATTATTATTCATTAAATGATTTATTTTTTGTGCTGTGCTGATACAGTCTCGGAATTTCAGTGCCCCTCAAAAAAATTTCTTTATGAAGTTAATAGAAAACATTCAACAAGAGCTGTCAAAGAACAAAGAAATGAAGGTATGTGTATGTTAATGAATATGGAATGTAAGTACTAGGTGACATATCGATGTGGTGTTTGGCAGTTTAACTGCATATATTTCCAACTTAGGCAGTTTTCCATACAATCTATTTATTTGTTGAATGTGTTGTGACATTTTAAAATATTAGATTGCTCTTCGTCTCTGTTGCTTAGAAGCCACTATTTTATCTCTAACATTCAAAATTCTTGGTTTTGGCTGGAGCCTGCTGGTACAAAATACTGCACAAATATTGTGGTGCCATAGATCTTTGAAGTCTTGTATTAGTAATGTTAACTTGCCTTGAAATTTTACTTTTTATCAACTATAATTCATTTCATTTAAACAGTACTGTCTGAGAGTTAGGGATCCCAGTTATCCTGCATTTTTTAAGTGTTTCCCCTTGAAACGGAACATTACGGATTTGGTGAATCTCTTGTTATTTTGGCCTGTCAAACATGTCAGGCCAAATTTTCACAAGTAGGCCTATGTTTAACAAATGAGTCTGTTTGATGCTGATATTTTAAGTAATAAACATGATTACTTTGTTTCAATTTTTACCAGTCAGAGAGCCATTAGCATGAAATTCTACTAGATCCAAAGCAAAGTTAAAAGTTGTGTATTGCATCATTAAATCTAGTCTCCATGACAAGCAAATGAGATACCAGCCACACTTATTGTGACCATGTGCATAATTATTTTTATTTTTTTTGGTGACTGTTCATTATTATAAGTTTATACATAAAAGAAAGTAAGTAGAATAATAAGAGTGTTTGTAGCTTGGTTCACGTTGCTGATGAGTAGTAAAATAAACACAAAATTACTGTAATTGTATAAGGTAACCCAAGAGAACTTCTCAATTACTACTTACAATGTTAATATCAATGTGCTGTTAAGTTGCCCACCCATGATAATCTGGGTTTAGCACGGCATATTTATAAATGTCTAATCTCTCACATCATTGCAGATTACTGAAGATTTCACGTTTGAAGCATAAAAGGTTTTGTAGAATTATTTAGTGTGGATGTAACTAACCAAATAATGCTAACCTATTCGTATTTCATCAACGAAGTTGAATTATTCATCTTTAATGATACTTCTCTATATGAAAAACTATGTCTCAAGAATGTCCCCTAAAATTTACATTGTGTCCCCTTAATTTTGTTACAAGGAACAATACATGGGGCCATTAAACTGTATGATATAGGAGCAACACTGTTTAAAATTGACTTATTAGATTATTGTTCATCAAGATATTATAAACTAGTGTTTTTCAGTTTTATTATAATTATATAGCACTATTTAAGAAACTAAAGGGAGAGTTTATAAATCATCTTAGATCTCTACTCTATAAATACAACTCCTTTAATTAGATTGAAAATGTACCAATTCATGTTTTTTTCCTTTTTGTCAACTTAAACTGATATTTTATTTGTACATAGAAGTTTTCAAAAAAAGTGATGTATTTTTAGTTTTGTTAAATGAATTTCTTGTTACAATCTCTGTACATTATGTATATGCTTGATAGAGCTGGGTGATCAGTGGAATTTGCTAATCAGTTGTCGGGCTTGTTAATCAATGACATTCACCAAAATGTTTATTCTCATGAGATGGCTAAAAAACAAACAAAATGATACAACAGTTTTTTGCCTACATGAGTGGGCTAAAAGAAGTTTGTAACATACAAGTTGGGTGTCAATACTCGTAGTGGGCAGAGAACAGATAACCCATTGTGTAAGACTTAACAGCAATATTTCAATTATTTGATTAATTGGAATAATTGAAAATAGTAATAATTGTAAATCCTAATTTCTATTAGTTGATTATTTCGGGAGTTGTTGTGCTTAAGAAATTTTAATTAATCCAAAATAATAATGGAAAATCATAATAGCAAAATTTCAATTGCATTATAGTTGGAATAATCAAAAACAGTAGTAATCTGAAACATTAATAGATGATTTTCTTGATATTATTTGATTTAATTTTAATTTTGGATTTATTGATTATTTTACATGACACTAATTGATGCTCATAAGTAATTGATTAATTCAGTTAATTACCCACCTCTAATGCTTGAATTTTGTTTTGTAGAAATTAAGGAAAAATTACATAAAAAAAACAATTTGACTTACTGTCATATTAAATGGACTATAGTAGGGATAGTTAATTATTTCAATACCAATGTGAGAACACTATTTAGTAATGTTGTGTTACGATATTGTTTATTAGGATTATAAATCACTGATACCTTTTTATAAGTTCCATGAATTATCAAAATTATTTACAAAATGTTCTCACATTAGCCTTTACATCTGTTTGGTATTTTGGTAATAAGATGGTTCAAGAAACAGCTTGGGATATTCTCTAGTAAGAAATGTTTTACTAAGTTATTTATTCTGTTAAATATACATTTTTGTTACAGTATTTTGGATTAAAGCTGTTAAAATGTATGTACGTATGTATACAAAAGTGTTTGATATGATTTAGGAAAGTCTTAGAAAGTTTAGAGAAGAAGCTGAGAAGTTGGAACAATCAGATGCTTTGCAGAAAGCAAGGAAAAAATATGTAAGTTTAAGCTTCAGAAATATTTTTCAAAATTAGATCATGATACCAATGAGTGTGTGTACACATATATACTCAATACAGCTGTGTTGTTTGTTTTGATTTATGGTAATATAATTTCACATCTGTATTACAATTAACCTGATATGATAAATAATGCTTTATTAATCAATTCATTTAATTTTATAGGAATCTATAGAATCTGAAACAGCAAAAAGCTCTCAGGTTCTGAAAGAACAACTTGAAAGTTGGAAAGACAAACTTAAAGAGGTAAGTTATGAAACTGAATGAAGTTGCTTCAGGTGGTAAATGACTGGCTAGCAGCACAGTAACTGCTTACAGACTTATTGTGATTAGTGGTCTTATAGTATGTAATTATAACATAATTAGGCTTGATGTTTTGCTGCATATTGAGATGAAAAGAAATGAGATTTTAGTTGTTAATTTTTCAAATAGGGTTCAAAGAGGGCTACTAGTATGATTCTCGAGATAGAAGGTTTATCTTACAGAGATAGGTTAGGATCTGTAAATTATTTTCTCAAGAGAAAATAAGGGGAAGAGGTGATTTTATTGAATTTTACAAGATTATCTGGGGGATTGATAGTATAAAGGCTTCTGATCTGTTTATGCTATATCCTAAAGATAACAGTATGAGAGAGACAAATTTAAGATTTGGAAGACAAATTAACTCCAGTTAAGACAGTTTTATTCCTCTATTGAGGATGATTGACTTAGGGAATTAGTTGCTGTCAGCAGTAGTGGGGGCTGGCATTTACATAAGTTTAAGAGGAGAATCAACAATTTCCTGAAATATGATGGTTGGATTTAAATTTTAGCTTTTTTTTCAAAGGACAGTCTTGAAGGGCCAAATTGTCCTTTTTTTCTCTATAGGCTATAAATATTAGTGATTTTTATTTTTAACATCCTTATAGTTTTACCTTGAAAAATATTACATCATGGAATTTAATTCACCATACACTGTATTATTAATAGAACAGTTTAAAAGTAATAAAAAATATTAGAATAAAGAATTATAACACAAATATATTATTTGCTTGAGAAAAATGTTCTTACTCTAGGTTTAATTAGTAGTGTTGACAATTTGTGTATAGAAAAAGTAATGTTTTAACTGATAAAATTAACTTTTTTTTTTACTGCATTGCTTACTAGGGAATTGAAGAAGCACAGAAGAGTGAATTAGGAAAGAAAGGCTTAGAAATTACTGAAGAGATCACCAAGTCAGCAAGAATTGCAGCAGAATCTCTAAGCAAACATAGAGAAGAGCTGAGTAAGGGTGAAAAGTTTAAAACTGTCTCTGAGGTAGTTTGTTCGTTTCTTAATTTATAATTAGGTACATATTATTCTAAATTAATATTTGGGTTTTTGGTTTTGTATTTCTTATGAGAATTCCTTTTATGATATATTTATTACAAAAAACATCTTTCTCTTAGAAATGTAATAAACATTTCTTTGTGTCAATTTTTTAATTAGAAAACTTTAGTTTCGTTAGTTAATATATGTAATAGCTTTATTTTCTCTGTACAGTTACTGATTTTAGTGAAATATTTTTGTATTACATATCAGTGTAAATGGATAGTTTTACTTCAGTCTGGGTAATGATTCTTCTTCAATTTTTTTGTAGGGAGTTAGAGCAGTTAGACAAGAAATCAGAGAGAGTACTTTTAGTAGAATAGGAGTATATAAACCACCAGGTAAGGTTAATTTTGTGTTTTATTCCATAACTTTTGTAATTAAATCACACACACATATACACTCTCAATTGTTTTTATACTTTTTGTTACATTATTTTTATATTGAAAAAAAAAATGTATCATTTACCATAAAAAAAGTCAAACTTGGGGTGTAGTGAAGGCAAAGGAGCTAGTATGGACTTAGAAATCATTTATTAAAATCAAATACTGTACTGTATTTATTAGGCTTGTTAGAAAAGCCAAATTAAACTTTTTCACTTGCACTGATTATTTACCTTAAAATGAGGAGTAATCTGCATAACATTGTTTAAAATAAAAGCTTCTCTCTGGTGAATTATAGATTATTTATTTAGCTGCTTCTGGTGGATATGTATCTCATAGTAATTTCACAGAAATATATGTATTGCTTCAATTTTTGTTGCTGTGTGTAATGTATATGTAATTTACAGTATATTAAATACATATATATACATATTGTCAAGTATTTTCAGTAGAATATAGGTTGTTATATTTCAATTAAAATTCAAAATTGGATAGCTAAAGAATTTCAATTTTACGCATCAGTTTGTGATATCTATTAATCTTGGTATATGAAATCATATGTAAACTGTAGTATGTATAATGTGTTTTTATACACAATGGCTAGAATATCCCTGATGATTAGCATGCCAGGTTATGGATTGGAAGGACAATATTTTGAGTCACAATATGCCTCTGAACATGCACTTTAAGATGTGGGAATGCTATGACAGTTAATTCTACTTGTGGTTATTAGAAGCTATGTTGGTTTTGCTGCTGCTGAGTGGTTTCTTTCTTTCTTGTGTACAGTTTTAGAGTAGGAATGGCTATGCCTGAACTTTGAGGTCTGTGATCTGGCTATTTAACTCATTCCACATAAGGTGTCATCCATGTAGAAAATACCAAATACTAAATTTAAACACCAACTTTATACTCTTTTTTTTTTATACTGCTATAGTGATCTTTTCCATGTCAAGGCAGAATAAACATCAATGTTAGAATTAACAGGAAAGTTTGACAGTCTTGAACTTAAGACATTGTGGAAAGGTTGTTGTGATATCAGTTGTTGTTGGTTAGTGGCCTTTATGATTACCAGCCTTTCTACCATGAACACCCAGGACTGAATCCAGGCTAATACCATTACGAACACAGTCCTCAGGGCTTCTTGAAGACAGCAGCAGATTAGCAGCCAGAGTGTAAAATGTAATCTAGTTGCCAGTTAGCGTCCAGTAAGAAAAAAGAAAGAAAGAGATAACTAAATAATAAGTAGACTTAGGTGGTTATATAGGCTACTAACCATGAGAATGAGTTTGAAATATTCTTTTGCAGGAAACAGGTGTAAAGATAAGCACATAATCAAAGTCTTTTTCAAAACCAGTTTGTATACGTAAGAAAAATAGCTCTACTGGGTAACATTCTCTGTCTCTACCCTAACTGGGCTGAGAAGAGGTAATACAGCTGAAAATTGTGGTAGTGAGTTGGTTCTAGTGTGAATTTTGTTGCCAAATGTGATCTGACATGTTGTATTTTAATACCAGAATATGTATCATGTTGTAAGTTTAAAGTCTGTAATTTGACTTTAAGTGTCTGAATTATTTCATACTGAAAAATTGATATATAATTAAGTTAGGCTTATTACATTGTTTAAAAAGAAATAGACCTCAAAAATAAACAGTAGTTATAACTTTCATAATAGTGTAGTTTGAAATTTCTGAAATTTGATCATCATTTGTAGTATTGCCAAAAGTTACAAAAGTATGTAGATAAAAGTAAAAAGATATTGTAACTTAAAAGTAATAAGTCAGAAATATACTCACTAAATGAAGCAACACAAGCAGAAGAAGAAGGAAGGAACAAAAATCAAAGCTTTTAGTGTATGCTTGCTTTTCCTTTCGTTTTGTGATTGCTTGTTTTAGTTATAAACAATATTACCTTGGTGTGTGTGTGTGTGTGTGTGTATATATATATATACACACACACATACATACACATGTGTGAACTTTTGGTGTGAATGATAATTGGCAACTTTAGTTAAGAAATTTCAAACTACACATTTATGTTAGCCATAACAGTAATTATTAATTAATTCAATATGTTTTAGCCAAACTTAGAAAAAGAATTGAAAAACCAGATATGGACAGTGAAGATAAAGTAGTAACACCTAATACGTAAGTAACTTTTTGATTTTATTGATATGTTGTTTTTGAAATTGTTTTCACTCTATTGTGTCCTATCCCCCTTTATTCTATACTCTGTCAGTATCAGGAGATTTCAGTTTAATTCTGTAAAACATTTTCTGCTCCCACCTTTCATTATTTGTGGGTTCTACCTAACCTGTTGAGGAAAAGTTTAGTCAGAAGTACCACACTAGTATACTCGTTTATATGGTAGATTTGTGGCTTTTTATGTTAGTGTTTATAATTTTATCATTGAATGGTTTTAATGAGACTTTATATTTATAAGATGCCATTATTTCACTCGAGTTCTTTCTGATTTTCATCTGCTATTTATAAAAAAAAATTCTTTAAACTTTTCTTATGTTTCAGAGAGGCCACAGGCTTGGAATTACATAAAGATTCCAAGTGGTTCCAAAGTTGGCAGAATTTTAAAGATAACAACCCATATATTAATAGTAAGTACTTTACTATAATCTTACAGTAATTATTTAACATCTCAGTTTTTACTTAGGTAACTGATGTACATACTCCCAAACACATAACTAATTTTTCATAATCATTTGATTAGAATAAGCTGAAAATGAATAGGTGTTAAATCTTTTAACACATCCTAATAAATTACATCTTAGTAATATATAATATTAAAATTTAATTTGAAAAAGTACTAAAATAATTTTATTGTGATAATTGTTCTTTTTTTAAAAGCTTTCTTACAAATTTTTCATCTACATTTATTTTTTAAATTTTTCATTCAAGAAGGTTTTTTTCAGGAAACGCTATTTCTTTCAGTTGTTAAAATAAATTACAGCTTTAAATGTTGATAATAAAGAAAATTGAACCTATATTTGGCTATGTTGCAGCTTTTAAATCTGATATATTTTAATATCTAGACATCTTTAATATTTATAATCTGGTAGCTTTAATGAACAGTATATTATGCCAGCCCCCCAGTGGCTCAGTAGTATGTCTCCAGATTTACAATGCTAAAAACTAGGTTTCAGTACACATGGTGGTCACAGCACAAATATCCATTGTGTAGCTTTGTGCTTAACCTCAAACAAACAAACAATATTGTGCCAGCTTTGAAAATCTCATATATCTTTAATGGTTTTCCTATAGAATTTGTATGTATTGGAAAAGAATGTTATCTGTAGAACCACATTTTATTTATGTGATGCTCACTTGGTGGGTTAGTGATAAACTTATGGATTTACAATGCTAAAACCTGGGGTTCAATTATCTGCAGTCGAAAGAGTGCAGTTAGCACTTTGTGTAGCTTTGTGTGACCCAGCAGTAAGTTCTGAAGGTTTGTAACACTAAAGATCAGGTTGTGATACCCAAAATGGGCAGAGCATAGATAGTCCATTGTGTAACTTTGCGAGTTACAACAAAGAAACAGAACTTATTTGATAGCTTGCTATTCATTTCATGATCTTTATTTTTTTGTGTTTGTTTTCTAGTTTGACATTTCATTCGGTTAATCATGTTATGCTTTTACAAACAGAAGTGTTTGATTGGAAAATGAAATATGATGAAAGTGATAACCCAGTTATTCGAGCATCTCGATTAATAACTGACAAAGTCTCTGACATTATGGGTGAGTGACATATTGCTGTATTGTAAATAAACAAACTTCCATCTAAATTACATGAAATATATCTTTAATTACTGAGTAGCTGTTAGTTAAGATAATTAATGTCTGTGATGCAGTGGATTAGTCTGTTGATATGTAACACATAACAGAGACTAACAAGTTGTATGTAATATTATTAGTAAGTTGCTGAAAAGAGTGATTGCTTAAGTCTGACAGTCAGAGAAAGAGAATCTTTAACATTAAACTAAGTCCAACATGTGTTGAATAGTACACTGTATAACTACCCCTCAAAGGGTCATGTGTATTCTATATACAAAACTTATAACCAAAACTAGTAGATTTAGATATGTCACTTATATCCCTAAAAAAATTGTGTTTAGATGTAACATTTGTAGCTTGGATAAATCTTTAGCTGTACTTAACTTAATAGAGGTTGTGTTGGAATGTGTTCCTTTAGCTTGAGGTAACTTGCTAGAAGTAAACAAAAGTTATTTTGTAATGTGTAGTTTGTAGCTTTGGACTATTCCTTCAGCTATATGAACTTGTTGGAGTAAAATAACAGAAGTTATACCAAAAAGTACTATTTGTTACTTTGGATAAATTTTCAGCTCCTTATAACTTGTTGAATGACATTAAAAATATTGTCACATATAGACAGAGATTTAGTTGTATATAATTTTTGTTGTGTGGTTATATATAACTGTGCCATGATTTTTAAACAGGTGGACTTTTTCAGAAAACAGAATTATCAGAAGTATTAACAGAAATCATTAAAATGGATCCAACTTTTGAAAAAGAAAAATTTCTTAGAGAGTGTGAAGTAGAAATTATTCCAAACATTTTAGAAGTGAGTACACTTAACATTACAAGGTTTTTGGAATATGTGCTTTGTGCTGTTTTAATTTACTAAATTTAACTCTTGTACATGTATTTGTAAATGAAACAATTTCTAGATTTCATTTAGCTACTAGACATACAGTGATCTAAAACATAACTTTGTTTTATTCAGCACTTATAATCATATCTAAGGCTTATCCTTTGTTGATATGAATCAACATTTTTAAATAAGTGTTTGAAATTTCTTTTTATAAATGGCTGGTTTAGAAATATTAATTTCTTGAAAATAACACTGATATCAGAATCCAATGATATCGAAGTATTTTATTCTGTATCAGTAATAAATATTTTTCCATTTAAAATGTTTAATTTATTTTATATTTTGTGTATTTTAGTTGGCAGAGTAGAAGAATTGTTTCAAACATTTTATTTGCAACAGTTGGCAATTTTCAAGATTAAATTAGCACAATAATATGTACTGTTTGTTTTATTGACTTATTACCACAATGTACTATTTGTTTTTTGTTGACTTACAATAACAGTGTACTGTTTGATTTTTGCTCACTTATTATCAAATATACAATGTTTTTTGTTGATTTACTACCACAGTGTAACATTTGAGTTTTGCTCACCTATTACTACAACGTAGGCTTGTTTTTTGTTGACTTACTGCTACAATGTAATGTTTAGTTTTTGCTTGCTTGCTTCTACAATGTTTCTTAACTTACTATTAGAATAAAGTGTTATTTGTTGATTTACTACTACAATGCACTTTTTGATTTTTGCTTTACTTACTTCAGTGTTACATTTGTTTGTTGACTTACTACCACAACACTGTTTGTTTTTTAACATACTATCACAGTTTACTCTTTGTTTTTGTTTATGGTGAACCTGATACTTTTTTTCAAATCCCTCAAATAAATTCTGAAACATTTAATTTTCTTTCTCCAATGAATTTACTGTCATGTAATAAGTGTGTTGATATATTTGTTTTTGAAGGCCATGATTCGAGGAGATCTAGAAATTCTAAAGGACTGGTGCCATGAGGCAGTAAGTACTATGATATTTAAAACCAATGTTATCAAAACTTGGTATAAAAAATCATTTTTCATAATATTTAAACTAAATCAACTTTATGGAGGTTAATAGATCATTGCACACTCTTCCTCTCCAGAGACAAAGTTTTCTCAAAATTGTTTTAGCATATTATCCTTTAATAATTATCGGTAATAAAAATATGGTATTAAAAAAAAGTTATAAAAAAGTTTTATCTAATGTGATGAAATGATAATTCCCTATATGTTTTTAACACTAAATTTGTTATTTACTTTAAAACAAGTCTATTTTGTATTCACCAGACATAATAATACATTGTATTAGCATACAGCCAATCTGTTTATTTAATTTTTTTAGTTTGTTTGTTGTTAAACATACAGTTGCAAACTGGGCTATATATGTTGTGCCAGTTACAGGGATTAAACTAAGTTTTATTGTGCATGTAATGAGTGGCCCAATGATATGGATAAAAATTTTCCATCTTGATCTAACAAACAACTACTTGCTGTGTATGTTATAACTATGCATGTCACCGTAGGCTGAAATTAGCCTCTTAATCTGGCTAAACTGTCAATTACTCCTTCCACACTGTTTAGACTAGTGTATTTTAATATATTTTGATTTTATTTACAATGATTTTTTGCTTGTGTACAGAGGTGATTTCAAATCATTTTCACTTTCTACTTTTTCAAAGAAAGGATTCCTAAACTGGATAGTGTCACTGTAGCACTTAAGCAGTAATGCTAGCTTTTGACAGAATCTATACAGAAACGGAGTTTTATAAGAAGGATAACAATGTTTTAAAACAACAAAAAAATTAAATGAATGCTTTAATAACATATTAGTTATCAAAACAAATTTTAAAATGAATTTTTAACAAGATACAGTCTTTACTTGCAGCTCAGTTACCAGTGTGTTTATTTCCTCAAACACACGTACTACAACTGCATGTTTGGGGAAGCAGTGTTTGTAATAGCTGCTGTAGTATTGCTAATCATATAAGCACTTTTGTGAACAAAAGTAATTGAATTGGTAAATAAGATTGAAGCTTTAATCTATGTAAACATTTTAGAAAATAAGGTATTTCGATTTAAAAAATCTTAAGTCTTCAAATGAAATATTAACTATTGTCTTGGACGATAGAACTCGCATGAGTATGCTGTCATATATTTTGTTATGTTGATGATGATAACTTATAACCTGTCATGTAGTAAAAGTAAGAATATTTCAACCGGAGTAAACTTCCAGGTACAAGTTACATTGTTGACTTTTAAAATTAGTCATAAAATTCCAAGGTAAGCTAAACTAAAGTACTTATTAGTTTGCTGATATAACTATCCTGCATTAGAAATTTGTTTACGAGGTTGCATTCGAACTATAAGGAGAAGTAGTAGATTGCTCAGTTTAGAAATGGAATATATAGATTTCATACTTGTTTTTGATGACACTAAATTTTATTTTATTGAATTGTGTTTCTTATAATTGGATATGTTTTGTTTCATATTTTATATTACAGCCCTTCAATACTCTTGCAGCTCCCATCAAACAAGCACAAAGTGTAGGGTACAAGTTTGACTCCAGGATATTGGATATAAGTCACATTGATGTATGTATTCTTAATAACTTTTAATATTAAATTTAATTCGTTTGAGTTTCGTTAAGTAAACTTGTGTTTTCTTGTCTAATATTGAAGAAATATATTCAAATAGACTTACCTCTGAAATACTGAAAGTCTTTCCTTGTTGAGTTGCTGTCATGCTTACGACAACAGTGTAGGTTCTGAATGTCATTGATGTCATACAGAGCTTGTACTTAAGAGTTCTCCACTCTCCAACCTTTCAGGTAACTTATTGCACATACGTAAGGAGAATGTACATTAGCTCTGCTTTTCCCTTTACAAGCCAGGTTTTCTTGTTGACTGTTTTGCTGATAACTTCATTCATTATAAATTATAATGACAGCATTAACTACTGCTGCAAGTATTTTTACAAATTCAGAAATTGTTTTTGGAGGCCCTACTTACATAGGCTACTTCTGGCAGGCAGGTATTGCTGGCAATTATTTCTAAGAACTTAAGAGTGAAAGAAAATAATTTAAAACAGTATGTCAGCAACACGATATTTGCTATATTGAGTCCTGATAAAGCCTTTTGTCAAAACCAGAATCTCATTAGGTGGCTGGGATAGATAGACGTAGTGGTTGAGACACTACTTGTATTACTTAATTGCATGAACAACATCTGTAATGGTTTGAACTAGATTAAGTTGTGGAAGTGTAAATTTTATCCATTTAATTTAAGTCATTTACAAATTAAAACTAGGGTAAGGATTAATAATTCATTGTTATTTATTGTAACATTAGTTATTTTATTCTTATTATTTTATTTAATTAAATTTTACTCATAATTCAGTCTGTTAATTATATATGTTCGTGTGGTGTCTCAGGTGTGGAACATCTGCCTTTTCTCTTAATGATAAAAAAAAACATGATCTTTTGTTTATGGCAGCCATTGTTTTTCACCTGTTGTGTCACCTGCCTTATGTTATCTTGACCTTGTTTCCACTTATTTGCTGTTTCTGAAATTTCAAATTAAAAAGTCACTAAAACATTGCAGTTCATTTCATTGAGAATTAACATTTAATACTTTTGTTTATTAGTGTACATTTTTGTTACAATATGTTTTTAATTATATATATTGAGGCTTATGATAATGAGTTGTATTTACATTTGAGGAAAAGAGCAAAACTGAAATGCTATGTGTTTGCAGAACTCACAAAAGGAAAGTGGAAAATAAATTATAATTATTTTTTCAATTTAAATTGTTTTCCTGGTACAAACTTAATTAATATGTTGAGTAGACTGGTGTTACTGAGAAGGTTTTTAGCAGCAGGACAGTAATTTTATTTTTTATATATTATCTTTTGTATATTATAATAAGATTATTACCAGTTAAGCAAGACATTATGGTAATTAAATATTAATTAAACGAAATTGCAATTAACATTTGCTCAGCTATATATTCATTTGAAATCACTTGATTTTTTGGGGGGGCATTGTCACCCACTTGCATTAGATTTGGCATAATGCTGACAACTAAACAATCTTGAGTAGTTAGATTGCAGTCAAACAGTAAGACCATTAAAGAGGATAGTGAGCAACCAATGTTGTAGTTTTACTCTGTTGTACTTTATTTTGAGTCTATTTGACAGGGTAAAAGTTTTAATTAATGCCAGTTGGGGAATGAAGGAAAACATTTCAGTATTATTTATATATGTCATTGAGAGTATTTATAATGAAAAGTTCTAACTTTGAAGTGAGAACTTGAGAAGGTTGTTCTCCCTTCTCCAGGCTTCTTGATGGAAATCCTAAAAACGTTGTAAGATTGTAGTAAAGTAGGCTAATTGCAAAAAAATGAAAAAGGCATGTACAAAAAACTAAAAGTGAAAAATAATAACATGCATAATAAATTACTTTGCACAATTATTATGGAATATATTTGTTAGAGAATGACATCTTTCTAGTTATATAATTTAATTGCATAACTTTTAAATTCAATAGCTACACCATTCTTGATTCCCGTATATCCATAACAGAATTTTCAACTTGTTACAGTCAGTTGTTTAGTTTTTAAAAAATTCTCAGTAGCCAATAATAGGACTTTTTTTTTGTCAGTAACTCATACTTGGTGACAAAACGTATAAGATAACCAAATTAAAGGGAGATTTGATTTCGTAGGCTTAATGTTTTGTGGCTTGCAAAAAAAGTGCTTATTTCTAAAATTCATAGAAGAAGTGCCACATAATAGGTGTATTTTATTGATGAAAGTATATATTTTATAATCTATACAACTCCTCCAGGACATAAAATTACTGGGAGTCCATAACTTGATGTCCAAGTCTCTCCCAAAGGGGGAGTTTGTCATAATCACAAAAATTGTGACAGTAAATCGTTTGTATGAGTACACAATATGTAATAAATTTTTCGGTAATTTTTGGTCATAAGCAACTTTGCATTAGCTGTAAACAGTAATATTTGCCATTTTCATAAGGGCTTTCTAATTAACTTGACATAATTGATTACCTTTAAGCATTGGTTACATCAATTAGTGTTTTATAAAATTATTGTATGAGGAAAATTGTTATTAATGTCATAAAAATAATCAACTAATTTAAATTGTTTCTTATTATTCTAATTATCTAAATCAACAAAATATTGCCATTGTGATTCCTAATTATTATTATTTTTGATTAATTTAAGTTTGTTAAGGTTAATCAATTGTTTTGACTAAATAAGAGTAGTTTTAGCTTCATATATTGTTTACTTACTACAAACGTAACTTGTGTTACTTGGGGTTAGATTACTTTAATGAAAAAAGTTATAGCAAGTTAATATTCATTATTCTGTATTTCCTCAAATAAAATATTGATTGCTGAATAACTTGCTCATTTAACTGTAACATGAACTAATAACATATTGTGACACAATACGTGACACAATTATACTTGTCATAAGACATTAGGTTAGGCTTATTACATTTATATATACCACATTCTTTACCTAGCCCCTTAGGGATTTTCAAGAATTAGAATAGTGTATAATAATAGTATTTCAATCACACTGTATTTGTCATATCTATTGCTGATGACACCATCTTGCAAAATGCTAACACACTATTACAATATGTAACACAGTTAACTCATTAATTTATTTACATGAACAGGAATGATGTTTAATTATAGCTAGTCCTAGCTATCATCAGATGGTGCTTAACCACTGTTATGTACTTTGAATTGTTTGATCTTTCAAAAGGCCTACACACCATAACAATAAGTAACACAGTTAACTTGTTAATTTATTTACATGAACAAGACTGCTGTTAAATTATAGCTAGCTCTAGCTGTCATCAGGTAGTGCTTGAACACTGTCTTGTACTTTGAATTGTTTGATTTCACAGCATGGCCTGGTGGTTAGGGGCTATCTTGCAATATGTATGTTGCGGGATCCAAACCCAGCACCAAACATGCTTGCCATTTCAGTTGTGGCAGCATTATAATATAATGGTAAAGAGTTTGAAATTGGTGCTGCAGCTGGTTGCCTTCTGTCTGGTATAGTTGACAATTAATGATGGTGGTAGATAGCATTAATAGCTTTGTCATAAACGAAAAAACAAACAAACTCAGCATGCACATGTGTTGCTACAGTTTATTACAGACTGTACTGTAAAATGTAAACATATTAATAATCTTAATGTGTTCATTCTAAACTTCATTGTATTAACGACTTGTTAAAAAGTGTACGATGTTTTATACTTATGAAGTTGCTATTTTTTAAGGTATTCACGCTGATAATGGAATTTTCAGTAAAAGTCGGTAATTAAAGAATTTTTTGGTATTACCGTGTTTTTAGTTTTGCTTTTAAAACTTTTATTTCCACTTTACAAATCATTGCAGTAACTGCAAAGGTGTCATCTAGTATCATCACAAGTTTTTTTTGCCAAAGAGTAAATGTTGTGCTGTCCTTGTTTTCTAGGATTGGACTAAATTTATTTTCACTGAATTATATTCAGAACATTTACTGGTTATATCACATTAAATCTAAGTATAATTATTTGTAAAGAAGTATTTGTTTATATAATAATAATTACATCAGTTTTTTTGTAACAATCCTATACTCTTATTGGTCATGCAGCACCTATTACTATATTGGTAGAAAAAAATCTTAAAGGACAAGTACAAGGGTAACGGCCAATAAAAACTTGAGGATATTGTGTTTAGTATTTTTCTGATTTATAATCAATGTCATGAAGTATTATTTATTTTAATCAACAAAAACTCAGTAGTTTTAATACAGTAGTTTTGCAGAATGGAATTAATTGTATTTTCAGCTTCTTACAGGTTAAAATATTCAAAACTTGATTTCTGAGTATATATGTAACAGAACTGAAGTAATGAAGAGAAAGTTCTGTGTTTTTCTTGATAATGTGACATGCATTTAATATTGTGTTTTTTTCCCCCCTTTTGTATAGCATTGTCTAAAGTTATTTGGCTTATTTCCAAACTTTATACATGTGTGGATCCTATTGATTCTCACATTTGTATTCCTAATTTCACATCCTGCATTATTCTGTGTTTCTTGCTACTCTTTCATAATATAAAGCATGTTAATCTCAAAAGTTTACTCCTGAACATGTGTTAAGTTGTACAGTTTTGGTTGCCACAAAGGAGATAGTTCCTTCTTCATCTTAAAGATTTTAAAAAAATCTCATTTTTCACAGCTTGCAATGGGAAAGATGATGGAACAAGGACCTGTACTCATAATAACATTTCAAACACAACAGATCATGGTTGTTCGAAATGCTAAAGGTGATGTTGTGGAAGGAGATCCAGTAAGTTGCAGTGCTTTTCAGTACCCTGTTATATTCTGAGTCAAGGGAATGTAGAGTGCCAAGAATTCTGTGCATAAAATTTAATGAAGGAAAAGTGTATCTGTAGTTTTGTTTTTATTTAAATTTTTATTTTATTTAAATGTGAAGAGCTTTTTCGAAATAAATAATTGTATGTCTTTTGTCTCACCAGTCTGGATATACCATACAATAAAGAAAGCAAAACTTTGTTGAAATTCAAGATGATTTTATGACATAAATGTTTTCCTAATATGCTTTTCAATAATCTCATAGAAGCTATGGCTACACAATTTCTATCATACAAATGTTTATGGGCATGTGTGTGTGTATATGTATATTGTTGCAAGATTTTCTATTGTTGGGTGGGTTCTTTTGGATTATTAAAATAATACTAAGTCCAGTTTACACAAGAATAACGAATTAGTTTATTTTTCTTAAAATTTACTACAGGTGACTTTCACTTGTAGTTGTAAGAGTTGCATAAAAATGTTTGAACAGAAATTTCAAGACTAATGGTAAGTATGCCTAACTTGTGAAAATACTTGCTTACAGTATTTCCTTGCTAATTGATTGAATAACTGAACAGATGTGATAAATCTTCTCACACTGAATAACTTTTCTGAACTGAACTCATCACTGATTACTCATATTTATATCATACTCTTGTTTCTAGATATTTCACTAAGATTCTTGGTTATTATATCATAGTGAACTTTCAATATGTTGCATCATCATGATTAAGCAGCTCCCTCTAGTAAACATCTAAATTAGAATATTAAAAATATAGCTTACAACAATATATGTATATGGATAATGTGTACTGAAGTTTATAGTAAAAATATTTAGCATGGAAATCATTGTTTTTTAGGACAAGATCTTGAGAATGTACTATGTATGGGTTTTATGCCGAGATCAGACAGAACTAAATCCCAAGGCAGCTTGGAAGCTCATGGATCTTTCAGCAAATAGTGTACAGCAGTTTCTATGATTAGCAAAATTATTAGCAACAAGTATGATTCAGAGGTGAGAGAAGACTTTCATTTTGGATGTGTAATTGACAGAAATATATGTGATACACATATATATATCATTTGAAAGTGATTGAAAATCTTTTTATTATTTATTGGGATTTTATTGTTTGGCAGATAAATAAATTACAATCATGACTGGTGTTTTCATTCGTAATATGCTTGTTCAAGTAAAAAGATGTTTTGATAGATGAAACGACTCAAGTGGGCATTTACATTAATATCAAAATATCTGTACATTATCATTTTACATAAGATATAGGAAAAAAGTTTTTTTTAAATTTAAAAGTTATGGTTTAAATTTTCAAAAGCTGTAAAATCATTAAAAATCGTGTTCTTTTTTTATCATAAATGTTGACTGTATTACTTTTTATTTTGTTAATTCTGAAAACTTTTTTTGGATATTATTTTAATAAAGCTATGGCTTATGTCATGAGTAATGATACCATTCTGATCGTTTTAATTTGTGGAGCAGTAATACTAAAATAGACAACATAATATACTTGGTCAGTACATTTTTGTAACTGTTTTGTCTGTCAATTAGATTGCAAAAGGAAATGATACAATAATTTATTTTCCTTTCTTTTTTCTTTTCAGGTTGGTTATATAGCCCAAAAAAAGACAAACCTTGTACAGCTGCATAGTTCATCATAATTTTAGTCATATCATCAGGTCAATTTTATATGCTAGGGACTGTAAGAGGTCATTTAATTCCATTCTTTAGTGAATATAGAGCCAACAAACTGTTTTACTTGATCATTCAGATATTATTAAAAAAGCTAATTTAATTTTCTTTTTCGTTATTCTATTCTTTTCATGAAAATTATGTTAACTTATGAATAAAAATATCAAATTAACTTGTTCACGAGACACTTTCTTTAAGCTAAAGGTTTCATTTTGTTTTGATTTTTAAACTTTTGAAGGCAGTAACTAAGAACTAGATAGTTGTGAGTTTATTAGAATTCATACTACCTTTTGACCCATTCTTGAGACCCTCAGAGTTTTCGTTTTTCATAAGACCTACGTGATGCATTATTTCTTATTTTATGTCATTCTCATTATTTTGAGAACAAATGATTTATCACGTTTTTTTGTCAGTAAGTCTTCTAATATAATGCACTTTACTCTTTTTTTTTCTTTATTAATTAATTAGGATGATTTGTCTGAGTTCCAAGATTAGAAATTAGCTAAAGCTTTTCTTCTAAGTAAACAGATTTGTCTTGTTGCTCTGTTAAAGCTTGTTGCTCTAAGTAGTTGTGCAAGTTCATCAGGCTTTATTGTGAGGACTTGTTTTGTTTTTTCCAAATATTTTCAATTCCAAGTGTTGAAAGAATATGGAATCTGTTGCTACTACTGTTGAACTATGCGACCAGGTTATTTTGCCCTATCTTTTTGTTTTATTTTACAAAGAGTACCTAATCATTTAAAAATTGGTATGTAGTTGACTTGATAGTTACTATATAAAAGATTTATCCTACATTGTATTCCCACTGGTGTATACGTCCATTATATGTATTAGAAAAAGTTAGGTGGCAATAGTTCATTAAAACTTTTTTTTTTTTACATTTTACAGTTTATAATATATACAAATAAACAATAAACATTAAGTGATATGTTAATCATCTGTCAGTTGCAACAGTTTTTGTCAGTGTAACTGTAGATACATGTACAATGAAAATTTTCAGAAGACTTCATTCCTCTGTATGAAAAAAAGAGCAGTATTATAATTCCTAACTCACAAAAAACGTAAAACGATGCTAAACACAAGAAAATATAAGGGTTTCATAAGGAACGAAAGAGCTCAGATATATAAAATAACATAATAACTTATAAAAAGTTGAGTAGAAAGTTATGAATAAGCATATCCTGTCATTAACTTAAATCTAAATAAAAACCAAAATGGAAATTATTAACAGAAAAATTCAGGTTCTTTGTTTACAGTGACATTGTATGTAAAGTGTGTACAAAAAAGAAAAGCAATATAAAGTTTAAAATTTATATAAAAGGCAGGAAAGGCTTAAGAAGTAGACAGTTGAAATAATAATATTGTGTTTTTAATTAAACGTAAATTCAGTGTACTAAGGAAAGTTTCTGGCCAAGAGTTCTATATCTGAATGGTCAGTGGTCAGAATTTTAATAGTACCATTTATAAATAACCCTTTCAATATTGATTTTATCGGATATTAAATAAAATTATATATATATATGTGTGTGTGTGTAGAATTGTTGACTAGATTTGCAAGATATTCGAATAAAAGCACACACTTTCACACATTTCTACATCGTGAACTTATTCATGATGCCTATTCCCAAAGATCCTTTTAAGATGTATAATTTGATACCGTAAAATACTCATATTTTACTCTCCAAACATTTTGATTGTATTTTTCAATCTACTTTGTTATTTTCTGAATTCCTATTATAGTTTTAGCGTTTGTATTGCACAGGAATGAAACAACCCTAAACTCAAGTGTTAACGTTTCATGCACTAACTTTATTTATTATTATATTTTTAACAAAAACGACGTAAGATGGCGCTATTTTCATTGTGATACGTCAGCTATTTCATTAACGTTGTTAGTTGTATTTTATTTATATGCCTTATTTATACGTCAAAGTTGTAGTCAAAT